GGAGGACAGGGGGACGAAGGCGGCGGAGAGGGGGCCAGAGCGGCAGGCAGAGGCGGCGTGTCAGGGTGAGGCACACCCGTTCTGATTCCCAGAGCCTGGGAGTGGTGCCTGACCAGGCAGGTCATGCGGCCCTCAGCCCGGCCTGCTCACCTGCCACCTGCCGACAGACCCCGGGCTGGGTTCGATCCTGGCGGCTGGGAGTCCTGGGGCGGGCCTGGCACTGTGGCACGGCGTGGCCAAAGGGAGCCGGGGAGACGAGGACACCTGCTCTCCTGGGAGCTAGCCCTTCTCAGGAGAGCTGGGACCTAGTCGGTCACGAAGACCGCACCGACCCCTCCATGCGGGAGATGCCCTCACGATCCAGTCGCCCCCACTAGGCCTCACCACCTTTCAAGGCCAGCACGCTGGGACCAGTCGCCAACCCTGACCCTTTGGGGGACAAACTAGGATTCCAGCCGCAGCTCCTTCCTCACGGGATAGCCGTGAGCCTGGGACGCAGAGTGACACACCCGAGGAGAGGGGCCACGGCTAGCAACGCGGTACGGCTGCTCCTCCAGGGTGCTGGGTGCCGGGAGACAGGGCGGCGGAGCACGGTTTCCAGCACGACGGGTCAGTGACCCCCCAATGTCCACACCCTGGCCCTGGAACCCATGGCGTGTTAGGCTCCACGGCAAAGGAGAACCGAGGTTGACCTTGGGACAGGGAGATCCCCTGGGCTGCCTGGGCGGGCCTCCCCGATCACAGGCCTTTACACGTGGAGGCGTGCTGACCCCGTGGTGCAGTGCTGGAAGCAGGAAGGCGGGAATGTGATGGCGGCATGACCAGGCCCCACGGGGCAGGGAAGGGGGTCAGGAAGGGCGGGAAGGCGATGATGGCATGACCAGGCCCCACGGGGCAGGGAAGGGGCGTTCGCGCTCTCTCTCTCCCTCTGGCATTTACATAGATCTTTAAAAGGCGCAAGAAGGCAAGACCAGGGACAGGGAGGAGAGAGGTGAGACTAGACCCTCCGTGCGGCTGTGAAGGTGGAGCAGGGCCACCCGCCAAGAAAGGCAGGCCCCTCTAGACTGGAAAAGACAAGAACATGGGGCCCCCATGGCCTCTGGAAGAAATGCAGCCCCGCCTCACCTGGATCTAGCCCCGAGACTATCTGGCACTTCCGGCCCTGGGACCGTAGCAGGTAAGTCTGTGTGAACCAGTCTGGGCTGGTGTCAGCTGTCACAGCTCCGCAGGAGGTCAGCAGCCAGCCACGCTCGCGCAGGACCCTCCCTGTGTCCTGCACCCTGGGACCCACCATGGGCGAGGAGAGAAAGCCCCTGGGTTCAGGGGAGCCGCCCAGCAGGGGACAGCAGAGCGTGCAGGGGCTGGACGTGATGACGGTCGGGTGCCCCGATGGAGGTGGTGCAGAGCCCCTGTCCCGGGGAGGGCACGTGAGTGCCCCTGGGGAGGACAGGGAGACTTGGAGTTGAGAGCACTGTGGGAAGACTTCCAGGAGGAGGCAGCAGCCTGGCTGAGCTGCAGGGAGAGCAAAGCCGGTCACTCCCACGTGGGGGGCTGTGGTGGGAAGAGTTCCCAGTGGAGACACTGGGGGACACAGGGAGTTCCTCAGTCTGGCCCACGGCTGAGAGTGGCAAGACAGCTGGGGAGGGATCTGGGCGAGCAGCTGACCAGGTCTCCAGGCCAGGACCTGACTCCAAGGGCCATCCAAAGCCACTGTGGGGTTTCAGCAAGAGAGCTGGACCACTGGCTTTATTTCAGGGGACACTTGCTTCACCTGACCTGTCCTCACACATGGACAGGCGGGTGCAGGGAGGCCCACTCGAGACCATCACTGCGGTCACAGATGACCAAAGTCCACACCGTGGGGCCCACTGCCCCCCAGAGATGGGTCCCCATTCCCAAAGACCCTTCCAGGAGTGGAGCTTCCTGCTG